GTGTGTGTGTGTGTGTGTGTGTGTGTGTGTGTGTGTGTGTGTGTCAGTCACACACACATGCTGTGGAGGCATTGGTGCATTTGTATCATTTTGTGTCATTGTGTCTTTGTGAGCCAGCAGGTGAAAACAAGGCCATCAGCCCCAGTGTTCATTCTGAAAGATAAGCTCAATCCTCAGAGCACCTTTATTAAGACAGGCTCAGAGAAAGTGGTCATCTGCTTGTCAAAATACAAACATGGAAGGAATAATGAGAGAAGCTTTATCTCTTTTGTGAATCCTGGGCTTTTGATGGCACTGCGGGGGTTTGCATGTTTGGACAGGTGGGCCAGTGAAGAGATGTCAGCTGGAGTTCTGTTTCCTCCTCTGTGCAGAGGCAGTATTTGCAGAATGAGATAAGACGTGATTTCTATGACAGGGCAAGGGCAAGCTTGATATGCTGTACATATCAAACTGTGTGCATGTCTGTTTGTCCGCAATGATTCACTCTTCCCTCCTGAGAACTTTTCAATATGTTGAACCTCAGAAAGAATATATGGTATGGTTGGAAAACTCATCTTGAGCACTGCTTAACCAACACTGCCCCCTGGTGGCCACTCAGGGGCTCGACTTTATCAGAAACCAGTGAAGGATGCAGAGAAAGCATCGTCACAGCTGCAATGCAAGTTTCCTGCACACATTTTGAGTTTGCTGTTTGTCCAAAATAAACAACCACAAAGAGGTCACAAGCATTACATAATTTATTTGATGTTTCCTGATAGTAATACGGTACAATGAGAGCTTAAATATTACAACAGTGTGACAGAAATTATATAGTCTATACCAATGATTCCTGACCAGAAGTAGTTGTACCCTCCTAGTTGTGATTTGATTTTCAAACACAACAATGTGTTTTTATATGGCCTCCACTCTGATGTGTACTGCACAGGATAATTTATTTAACTTAAGTAATAAAAGAAGAAGTGTATAAAAACACTTATTGCACAATGTTGTTATCAAAGGTCAACAGGTCTGGTGTAGACAGGAAAATTGTGGCGATATCTCACAATACTTCACATTTACAGTAATGGTTAAAAGAAAATACACCCTCTTTAAATTCTAAGTTTTTTTTGTAACAGGACATGATAAAAAAAGAAATTTGATATCGGGTCGAGCCTTTAAAATTGAGCTGAATCGGACACGTGCTGCTATTACAGCACGTGGTCTGGAGCATTCAGGTGTGGCAACACAATCCTTAAAATGATCTTACAGAAGCAATTTGTTACTTCTCGTAAGGCTGGGAAGGGTTATAAAGCCTGACAACGACAGTGACAAAGATTATTCACAAGTGGGAAACATGCGAGACCATTGCCACACCGAGCAGTGCTCAGAGAAACCCACGAGCTACATCTCGTTGTTACATGTCGCATGTTACAGTGGTCCAGTCAAATTCCAGACCTCAGCCTGAGATGCTGTGGTAGGACCACCAGAGAGCTGTACATGAATTTTGCAATGTTGTACAAAAGTGTTTCAAAGTTCTGACCAATAAAATCATTCATAAATGATTACTTCCAAATTTCGCTACTAAATGTGGATCTACAATAATAATAATAACCTGAATAATGGGTTGTACTTTTCACACAGATTCTGGTTTAGACTTCGTTTTTGTGTCAGGTGTTACTGTTCGTCTCAGTTGCGATTTACCAAATCTGAAAATCTGGTAAAGTCTAAAAGTCTTATTTTTATTATGCACGAGTACAACCTCATATTTGAAAGAGTACGTATTATCTTTGTGCCATGACTGTAAATATTTTATATGAATATTAACTGCAACTCTGAAACCCCAACAGAGAATTACATGCGGAAGGTGAGGTGATGACTTAAATGAGAGAAGAGAAAGTTCAACTGTAGAAACTGAAACAATAGTGTCCAAGGAAGAAATCGGGAAAGACGCACGATTTCAGTTCATGGTTTACAAGCAGGTGGTCCAGTAACACCTGATCTGTCAGCCCAGGATGAGTAACGCAGGGCAGTTATTAAAAAAACATCCATGTTCTCCAGCATCGATGGGATGATGCTAAGAATTAAGACTGTGAGGGGTTGACAGCCAGTAGGTCATATTTAATGAATTATATTATTTATTTATTTATTTACTTATTTATTATAGGCCTTTAATTCTAATTCTCAGAAACTTTGGCTCATGGTGTTTTGGAAAAGTGTAAAATGTTTTGTAAGAATGAGGTTGTTCTTCATCATTAGATCGTAACATACAAACAACAAGCTAAATCTTCTATGAGCACTGTTTGTGAATGAGGCCTTCAACACGATACAGTTTAGTGAGAGGATTTCTTTTTTAATTTACAAATTTTTTACCCTAATTTTCATATATGCCTTTTAAAAAAACAGAGATAATAATAATTTTATTGCTCGCTGAGATATTTTTATGTTCAAATCAGCCAGAAACAGATGGAAATAGTAAGAAAAATCACCAAGTTGCCCGTTTAGGAAGAATAATTGGATTTAAAGTAAACAGACCACAGTAAAACTGATCAATGCATATAAGATAAACCTACACTTGTTCTTCTTCAATTCAAAATGTGGGACTTTCTCAAAGCCTTTCACTCTGATTTTTAAATGAATGGATGATTCTTACAGTATCTGCTGTCTAAAACTTTTTAGTCTGCATGAAAAATTCCTCTATTAAATTTCTGCATCTGCCTAAAGGCAGCAGGACACACATGCGGTCTATAATTTGAGATGTGCAAGCTGGCGTACTCCGAGGGGTTCATTAATTTTGTGCCTTGCTGCCGCCTTTTCAGTGTTTCAAACCAAGTTGCATTTTTGTGTGGGGCCTTCCACCTCACACTGCAACATACAGGGCTTGACCTCGCAGAGAAATCGCTTGCTGTGATTAAGATGTTCCCCATTGCATCTCTTTTTCACAGGTGACTGGAGGGAGCAGTTGTGTCCTCTGGTGACCCGGTTAAAGGACTGCGTGATGGAGGTGGTGGAGAAGGCGAAGAGAGCCATGACCTTTGTGCTCCTGCAGGAGGCAGCCTGCAGCATTCCACAGGGCTTCCTGCTCCAGCAGAGGCGAGACATAGTCTTCAGTCAGGCAGTAGGTGGCTGCACTGGCATAATAAACAACTCTTTAGGAGTCCTCCAGAGCATGGAGCTTCTTTTCATCTGAATTTAATCTTAAATATTTTTACTTTTTCTTTTAAGATAGTACTATTTGTCTATACTGAATGAATCATAAATCTGCTGCCCATTCACTGCTTTATGCAATAGCAGCTTGAGCTGTAAAGGATTTTGTCATCTAATTTTTTTCCCTCGTGGTCCAAAGTACAGCATAATCAGTGCAAACAATATAAAATGTTGGTTGTATATTACTTCATGTTTGCATACTGTAGAACTCAGGGTGTGGAGTCATGTATTTGTTAGGCTCTGAACTATGTTTTATATTTAAAGGGTTTACTCCAGTAGGACTCATTCACATGTCTCTGCTGTATACATCAACATTAAATGAGCATGAGCAAGTAAATAAAAGGAGTAACATGGATTCAAGTAACACATTTGTTGTGGTGTGAAAGTGGCTCCAGGTTCTGATCCTTTATAATTGAGCTGAATCGCAGTATTTTGGACCCAGTGTATTCTTGGTTCACCGTTTAGTGTTTGCTGCATAGTTGCTTGTTTGAAAATGTCTTAGTGTTTGTGTGTTTGTGTGTTAAACAGCTGGCAGCCTTGGCCTGTGGTTTCGTCATGCGGTTGTACGCAGGAATGCAGGACAAAGGCTTCCTGAGGCAGCTTCACCTCGTTGGCCTGGTTGCTCAGTTTGAGAGCCTGCTCAGCACCTACAGTGAGTGAAATCACGCCGGTGAACTCACGACCTACATTGAATTTTACTGTTTGTGTTTGCTGTCAAGTAAAACCCAGCACGTTTAAGCAAGTCAGACTAGGAAGGTGAATGATTAAGCTGTAGTACATAGCAAGGTGAGGCAAGATGAGTCACTGCAGTGTTGTTTTTGGCTAAATGCCTTCATTACCGACACCCATATTTCTTCATCCTTTAATTGTGACCTGGAAAATGGTGTATCTCCTGTTAATGTTTGTCATAGAAATAAAGAGAACAGTAAGTAACAGTAAGAGTTGAATAAATACAAGGGAGGGAGGTTTCTCAGTTATGTTCTTTGTTATATGAGCTAAACTTGCCCTGTTGTGTGTATGCATGCAACGAGAACGACTGACATCACTGTCGAGCTTGTTTTCTGTGGCCGCTATAGGTGAAGAGTTCGGGATGCTGGAAGACATGGAAGTGGGGATCTCAGACCTGCAGAGAGTCATGTTCAAGATTACAGAGGCCAAGTCCGATGACCTCAGTGACCTTCAGCCTTTAGTTTGTGGCCGACGGTGAGACCTTGTTATTTTCTTTGTTTTCTTACTCAAGTCCAATTATAGGAAGGAAATCGGGCCAAACACTTATTTGCGGCACATGTGGTCACCTCTAATGGTTTCTAATATACCTCTGAGATCAGAAAATCAGCATCAAATCAAGTTATACTCGTTTTATTGAGATATACAAACATAGAAAGTAATGTTTTTGGCTTGAGAGAGTTTCTTTGTTTATAGAGGAAATCTGAGTTTAAAGCAGGGAAATGTCCGTATATTTCAAAAGTAGGGGGATTCATACTCTCAGTGTTCAATGAAAACTGGTGGACAATACACAGGGACTTTGTTATAATGGAAGCCAGCCATTACAAAACAGCATTGTTTTCTCTTGCATTGTGTTTCACTAAGGATACAATTGGCGCACTTATGCAAAACATCCAGGACCCCTCTCACACCAGCTCCAACACAGATCCGCAGCATAAAAAATATCGGAGCAGGTTTTTTTCTTGTTTGTATCACTTTAGTGTAGGTCATCACATGTGCTTTCCTTTGAGTTTCATATTGTGAAAAAAGAAAAACTTAAGCTTGATTTTCTTGTTTACCTTGCTCCTGATGTTGCTGTCTACTGGGACTGTCACTGTATCGTAACTGTGGTCCTCTGCTTCTTGTCAATCACCACTATGTCTGGTTGGCTCAGGATCTCAGCCCCAGGAATCACCTGCATACTCTTGGGTACATATTCAAGGGTATTGCTGTGTACCAAGAGGAACCCAGGACCCACTCCACCGGCGGGTTCATTGCGATACCCAATAGCAGTCAGGGTGCCATTGCCTAGCCTTATTAGAGGTCTCTGCATCCCTCCATGGATATGCCTCACTGACCCACCATCAAACCGGTGATGCTGAACGATGTTACCGGGAGCATAACGTTCTCCACGGCTTCTATCGACCCTTTCATGTCCGTGACATGTGCTCAGGGGGAACCTGCTCTCATTTGTGAAAAGCACAGGACACAGGCAGGTCCAGTGGTGGACCTGCCAACTCTGGTATTCTACTCTATGGCAAATGCCAATCATGCTCCACGGTGCCGGGCACAGAGCACGCGATCCACTAAGGATGCTGGTCCCTCAGGCCAACCTCATGAAGTCTGTTTCTGATGTTTTTGTCAGACATTCACACCAGTGGCCTACTGGACTTCATTTGTAGGCTTCTGGCAGTGCTTATCCTGTTCCCCCCTGCACACCTCTCCTAATGTAATTGTGTGTCAATTAGTGAAAAACAGTCAGGAAAACTAGGAGGGAAAAAAATGTCAACAGCCTCCACTTGTAAAACCATTATTTCCTGTCTAGTGCACATGTTGTTAATTTCAGCACCAAAAGCAGCTAAAATTGATTACTTTAAAAAGTCTTAGGATGGCACAGCATAATTACGAGTGGGCTGAATTCCAGACGTTTTCACTTAGACAAGTATCCGTTCACTGTGGCTCATTCAGGAATGCAGGTGGAAACTTTCCTCTTCATATCTGGACTTTGATGTTGTCAAAAGTAGCTAGCGTTCAATAAATGCAGAGTCACTGAGATATAATGTAATTATTATTTGAATTGTTATTTGATTTTTAATTTTTTTTTTAAATACACATACATGTGTGTATTATTTTTATTATCCTTGTATTAGAAGATAAAACAAGTGTGGAACTGTGTCAAGTAGTAGTTGTCTGTGGAAAATTTAACAATAACCTGCAACACACCCAGTGAGCTTGACTTGAAGTGGGTTTAATAAACACAT